ATTTTACTTACTAAAATTAAACTTTTAAATTAAAAAAGTATCTGTTGATGGCTCTGTATGACGGCTGTGCATGATTGTTCTGTATGACGGCTCTGTATGACGACTCTGTATGATGGCTCTGTATGGTGGCTGTGAATGACTGCTCTGTATGATGGTTCTGTGTGATTGCCCTGTATGATGGCTTTGTATGATAGCTCTGTATGATGGCTCTGTATGATGGCTGTGCATGATTGCTCTGTGTGATGGCTCTGTATGATGGCTGTGCGTGATTGCTCTGTATGATGGTTCTGTATGATGGCTGTTAGGAATGCGCGATATAAACGGTATACGGTAGAAACGATAGAAATTTAGCCTACGATATAGATTTATCTTCTACCGGCTAACCGCAGTAATGATGTGTCTAAAGTAAAATCAGAGTTGTCAGTTTAATTGTTACTTTTTTTAGTTGAAAACTGTGTGTAAGTAGTGTTCAAGGGTAAAATCAGAGCTGTCAGATTTAATCGTTACTTTTTTTGAGCCGAAAACTGTGCAAAAGTGGCGTTAAATTCTTTTCTTCGAGAGCTAAGTAGCGAAGCTACAAGCTAAGTACAGCTGGCTTGTCGTAGTGTTGCCATATTCTGATGCATGCGCAAAACACTGTGTTCTGTCGAAAGTGGGGTTTTTTTTCCCAACGAAAGTTAAAATAAGCGTTGGTCAGCTTTAGAGAAACCTGCTCTCTGATCATTGAAAAGAACGCTGTGTTGTGTGATTTTACTGCGAGACCCTCTGGTCAAAGCCACAGACTCATTTTGTGTCAGCTCTCCATTAAAGCAGAAGGAGTCACCCACTAGAGGGTTGGAGGGTGAAGTGTTTCAGTGTAAAATGCTGCTCTGTTGCTGTTCAGTTCTTAAGTAAGACTGAAAACTGTTAAGAGTTAACAACATATTTTTTAGTTTAAAACATATGGCTAAAACTACAAATGATATCTTTTGCACTGTTTTGCACTACAAGAAAGAAGCCTAATACTTGATTTGTTTATTATTTAAAAACTCTCTGGACCTAGTAGAGGAATTTTCTTAATTCAAAATATATGATGGCAATGCATTTTTTTTAGCAAGTTTTATACCAAAAACATATTGCGATATATATCGTTATCGCCACCCTTCACAATACATATGATATGAATTTTATGCCATATCACATATTCCTAATGGCTGTGCATGATTGCTCTGTATGATGGCCGTGTATGATTGCTCTGTATGATGGCTCTGTATGATAGCTCTGAATGATGGTTCTGTATGATGGCTCTGTATAATGGTGTAGTGAACTAGGCCTCTGACGTCAATCTGTCGCTGAAGACCTTCAGGGGACAGGAACTGCTATTTCGTTGATTTGAATCCAGAAATACAAATTATCTCATTAAGAGACTATTTAATTGTATCCTGAATTAATCAATTGAAAGAACACTCTTCTTTTTACATTATCAGTACTATTTTAAGATATCTTGATAAAAGTGTGTTTAGTTCATACCATTTCTAAATGTTGAAGTGAACCACTCATTTAAATCAACTGTGAAACAGTATTAATGATTTTTAAACCTCATTAGACTTTGATCATACAGTTAAATGCCTATTTACGAAGTAAGTGTGCATTTAGTCTTCTGTCTGAATGAGGGTAGTGGACCTGATGTCGGTCGAAAGTCAGAGACAAGTTATGAGGACGAAGTGTCTTGTTTTTAAAACTCCCAGACAGTAAATAAGAACTTCTGGCACCTGCTTCCTCTCATTTCTTAAAAAACATTTCTCCGTCTGTACTAACCGTTCTTAAACATTCCTGCTGTCTCCTGACTCCTAGTGACCCTCTGACATCACTCGAACTACACCCCTGCTGGTTGTTTCAACCAATCAGGAAGTACCACGTAACAGGAAGTGGATACCCCTTTAAAAGACAACACTTCTTGGAACTATTCAGTCAGTCTTCTTCGAAGTCTTCATGAGTCTTAGTTTTGCAGTCTTGCTGGAACTTGCAGTCGGAGATGAGACTCAATTAAGTAGCGGATGGATTTGACCATGTGCCAAGGGTCTCTCCAGTCCAGCCTAGTCACAGCCTGCCTCGGCTGTGACTCAACCCGAGCATTAAAAGCTCAACTCCTAAGGAAGCTTATTCGGTTGAACCGAGTACTTTGTCACGATTACTGAAGACCCCCAGCAACTCTAACCGGAGACGCTGAAAAGGGAGCGTACCAATGGACTTCTGTTCCGGAGTGGATACATCCTCTGCTAAGGTAACAAAGTCGCTGCACGTCCTGAAGTGTACCGGAGGGCTGAGCTGGATGTCGGAGGAGGGGTGCCATGTTCTGGTTCAACACATAACTCCACATCTAAACTTCCTCCTTAAATCTATTCCTCCTCTCTTAAACTTCTCTATTCGCCAGTAAATCAAGCTAGATGCCTTCAGAGATGAATCAGTCTCAATCAGTAATGTTCTGTTGTCTTGTTAGTAAAGCGTGCCGTTTATTAATCAGAAACAGATCAGCAAATCAATGTGTACATGTTTTGATGTTAAATTTTGATTCTGTTAAATAAATGACCGCATTTATTCTTGTAGTGAACTAGGCCTGATGTCAAAACCTTGACCTAAGGACCTTATGGGACAGAACTTGTCATTTCATTGATTTGCATCCAGAAATACAGGTTGACCCATCCTGAGACTTTCTTTCTTGAATTAATCAAGTGAAAGAAGACTATTCTCTATTATCATTACCATTTTACAAATGTTTGATAATCAAATTGTGTTAGTTCAAACAATGTTTACATGTTGAAGTGAACTAATCATTTTTTATTAACTGTGAAACAGTAATAATGATTCTTAATCCTCATTCAAAGAAGAAATCAGGTTAATGATGCATTGTCTGATTTTCTGTCTTCAGTGAGCAAGTGTGTAAGTTGGTCAAAGTTCAAGTTTCGGTCAACTGCAAGTTTACTGAAAAGAAATGTCATGTTTAACTTTTACAGCAAGATACTGGAGAAGTGACTCCACGAAGTCTGAATTCTTCAAAACAATCTTTTGTCTGTTCTTAAACAATCTTAATCTTTTTCCTTGACTTTTCATAACACCTTACATCACAAAACACACCTCTGTTTGGTCCATTCGACCAATCAGAAAGTTCTCAAATGAAACGGAAGTGACCCTTCTTAAAAGGTGCAGCACTTCCTAGTTACAGCAGTTCCAGAGTTCATGAAGGCTGGAATTCAGGATGCTGATGAAAGAAAGAAAACCAAGCTGAACCAGAGAAGATCTGAGAATTATGAAATTTCTGTTTTGGATGACCTCACGACTCCCGAGGGTTAGCTGTTCTTACGGAGACGCTGAAAAGTGGCTCGAAGTGGAACTTTACGCTGGAGCTGACATATCTTCAGAAAGGTAAAAAGTCGATCTTCAACCAAAGTGTACCGTTGGGATAAGCTGGTCCAAAGGAGCGTGCATGTTCTGGTTAAAACAGACAAATTCCCTCACACATCTCTCTCAAGATAAACTTCATCTTTCCATCTTTAAAATTCTTCTATCTGCTAAAAATCATTCCAGATATTTTTAGAAATGTCTGAAGCAAAGTTTTTCAATCACCGCCGTGTGGTTGACATTGTTGTTCGGCTGGAAGTGAGAAAACAATCGCCGTGTTGTTTACTTCCTGTAAAACTGATTAATAAGCTGTCGTTATTTTCAATTCTTGACAATTAATGTAAATGTGTGATGTGTTAAACTTGATTATGTTAATAAATGACCCACTGTCGTTGGTGAGTCAAAGATAATTAACGTTTCCGTCCACATTTTATTAATTCAGATGCACGTCATTATACAGTCCAAAAAAATGAAAGAATCCGTTTTAACAGTATGAATATATATCAGTATATGTACATACTACATTCTGATGGGTCAAAGATAAAATGGCGTCTCATGTCTCTGATTAAACACTCCACTCACAAGTTATCTTGGTCACATAACAGAAATTTAACTCGAAAAAGAAAACAATCTGTTGTAATTAAACAATTAATATTCTTTGTGCTTGAACTAGCTTTAAGAATAATTAATTGAAAGTGAAAATGAGTTCTTGTGGCTCAATGAGACTACTTGGATAAATAAAGGCTAAATGAAAAAAAAATAATAATAATTAGTAGTGAAGCTACCAGCTATATCACTACAATGGCTCTGTATGATTGCTCTGTATGATGGCTCTGTATGTTTGCTCTGCATGATGGCCCTGTATGATGGCTCTGCATGACGGCTCTGTGTGATGGCTCTGTATGATTGCTCTGTATGATGGTCCTGTATGATGGCTCTGCATGATGGCTCTGTATGATTGCTCTGTATGATGGTTCTGTATGATTGCTCTGTATGATGGCTCAGTGGCTCTGTATAATGGCTCTGCATGATTGCTCTGTATGATGGCTCTGTATGATTGCTCTGTATGTGGGCTCTGTATAATGGCTCTGCATGACGGCTCTGTATGATTGCCCTGTATGATGGCTCTGTATGATTGCCCTGTATGATGGCTCTGTATGATTGCTCTGTATGATGGCTCTGTATGATTGCCCTGTATGTTGGCTCTGTATGATGGCTCTGTTTGATTGCTCTGTATGTGACATATCATGTTAAAAATATAGTTTTTTTGTATTCTCCATTGATCATGACTTCTGGTTGGAGCCATCCTCTGTCTTTGCAGAGAACTTGTTTAGCAGACTGGTTGTTGGCGGTGTTAGGGAATTTTGGTCAAGTTTTCTGGATGTTTTTAACTCCTATGGCTGAGAATGTTAACTGCCCAATAACCATGTGTTTGAGTTACCAGATGAGGAAATGATTTGAGGCTGCAGGCGCAGCTGGGAGGATGCCAGTCTGTTTGTGAGCTGGGAGCTGATAAGATATAAAAACAAGTCTCTCACACTGCCCATGGTGAATGCTCGTGACTGGGCTTCATGTGTGTACCTTCTGTACACCTGTGTGACCCGTGGTGAAAATCTGTCCTTGCAAGTAAAACCAGTTAAAAATTTCCTGACATCCAGTGTGGCTTCTTTGAGTAAGTGAGATTAGAGGACATTTTATCCAACAGGCGCCTCACCTCTCATATTTGCTCTGCAGCAGCTTGTCGATCTGAGGCAGGATACTCATGCACAGATCCAGTTTCCATAAAGATCTGAAACAGAAGAACATGTATCACAACCTGTTTTCTAATTTTTATTTTTTTTACTAAAACTAGACTGAAGGTCACATGGAGCTGACTAACTCTTCAGGCTGAAATTAACAGCAGAATCTAATTATCTCTTTACCGCTAACGGATCAAACTTTATGGAGAATTTAAATGATGACTGACATAATTTTATTAAATCTGTTTGTGTGCGAGCTTCTCACGGCTGCAGGTTGATGATGTTGAGGACATCCACCATGATGGACAGGTCATTTATGGAGACAGCAGAGTCCAGAGCTTTCTGCAGAAATAAACATTCAGCACTTGAGGTTTTACTCATGTAATCAGATTCTGTCAGACAGAGCAGATTACTAAGGTCAGGCTTCAGGACCTTATTAGCATGTATCATCAGTGATAAGCCTACATGTTTTTACTGTCTGAGAACTGAATCCCTTTCATAGCCTGAAGGAGGAACATCAACGTGAATGAGTGAATGATAAATGATGAATGTTCCTGATCTCAGGTCTGAAGGTTTTAGAGCAACACTCCCACCAGGTAGCAGAAAACTCCATCACCTTGATGTCCTCTCGGGCCCACACGGTTCTGACCATCTGCAGGTTCTTCAGTCGGCTGCTGAGCATCACACACATGGTGTCGTGACCCTTCCTGATCTGGGTCAGGGCCTCATCATCACTCAGGTCAGCAGCTCGGTGGTTAGCTGCAGACTGAACACAGAAAGGGTTCAAGTGACTGCAGGAGTCGTGTTTTTACTCATCACATGAGAAATCGGCGCTCACCGGCAGGAAGTCGGCCACGTTCAGACCAATGGGTTCATTCCTGGTGCTGGAAATAATTCTAGGCTGCTGATTGGGTTTGGCCTTGTTGATCTGGGTGGGTGGGGCAGGAAGGCAGGAGGGAGAGGGGTTAGAGGAGGGGGCGGGGCACTTTATACAGGACACCACTGTAGGCTCCACCCTCTGGATAGGCGTGGAGATGGCAAGAGGTAGAGCCTGTGATGGAGAAGAAAAAAATAAAGGTCACATGACGGGTTCAATTAACAGCAACCCAACCGATCCATCCTGCCCAACGTTTCGGTCCAGTCCCAGCAGCCTCTGATGAAAGCTGCTGGTGTTCTGAACGGCCAGGACTCAAACAGCTTTAAAAAAAAAAAACGTTGGTTACGTACTGTAACCCCAGATTCTATGAGTATAGGCGTAGCCCTTTAAGGCTGTCGCTGGTGGGTTTTATCCCGTCAAGCGAAGCGTAGCACTGAAAACTTTAGTCCATGCCCACCTGTTGTGAGGGCCTCACCCGGTCCGTATAAATTACGTTGAGAGCGGGTAATCTGCTCCCAAATAGCTTTTTTCTTCAGCCATTTAGGAACCAGTGAGGCCCAGATCTTAAAGGGCTACGCCTATACTCATAGAATCTGGGGTTACAGTACGTAACCAACGTTCAATTTAGTATAGGCTTTGCCCTTTAATGCTGTCGCTGGTGGGTTAAAGGCAAAGCGGGATGTAGTGTATGCCTCACTGGGTCCGTTCAGACACAATATGAAGCGCCCGCTTGCACCAAAAAACATTTCATCACTCAGCCTTCTATGTGAAGTAATTATGCGCTGCGTAATTACGCGCACCATGCACAGACGCGCGCTTCGTAATTACACGTTCTGTGTACAGGAGCGCCCCGGAGAGAAAAGTTTTCGACGAGGGAAAAAAAAAGGGGGGAAGGCTGAAACAGTGAACAGAGCAAATCAACAGCTCTTCAATATGAACAGATTAATAATGAATGAACTGATTAGTAATCAAATGAACTGATTGGTAATAGTAGTCATGAACTGATTAGTAACAATAGAACAAAAAACAACAGTCACAAAACTTGTGACTGATAATAAACATTTCACTCTGTAATTGCATGCAGTCAGATGTGAGTTTAAATGAAATTCCATGAAAACAATAAGATTCATTCTGTTAAAGCGCTGAGTACAGAATGAGCCATGGAGCGAGCCGAAACATCACGCACATAAAAGCGAATAAATGAGCAAAGCGATGACCACGTGGCCGCAGTGCAAATATCCTGCACTGTGATGCTAACTGCTAGCTTCAGGTGAGTACACACGAGCTGTGATTGGTTGAGAACCACTGTTTGGGTCGTTCTGATTCGCTGAGAAGCTGGTGACATATCTTGTACGTCCTCTCACTCTGCTGTCAGTGCGTAAAGCCCACCTCCGATGTTCACGTGTCTGTAAAGTCACGTGACCCCGGAAATGAAGCTCGTTTTAACGGAGTCTCCCTTTGTGTTTAAAAAAGCTGAATAAGGCCCTGACTTTTGTTCCTGAACTCATGAGTACATGCAGAAAAAGCGTGCTTGTTAAGCGACGCGACGTTTAAGCTTTAAATCCGTCCATAAATGCTGATGTGAACCATGTTCGACCGTTTGCTACATGTAGCTAACGGCTAACAACCGGATGTCAACAGGACGGTTCACAGGACGTCGTCAGCGACTCCTACCGGTAAAAGTAAGCTTACACCACCACCTGCTGTTGAAAAAGAGTATAACAGTTTTCCAGAAAGAAAGCTGTGCACTCGCCTTTCATTAAAAAATTTTTTCTGTTAATCAGAGCCTGGTTTATGGGTACTGTTTAAATAGCAGATTCTGGTAAATTAAACTGCTTAAAGAGCATTTAAAACTACAAGTTGCTGTCAGACTTTTTTGAAAAATTGCAGGTTTATTAATTTTAAGTGCATTGGAGTACACTGAAATAGCCTGGCTCTTGTATCTGTTAGAATAAGCTCATTAAGTAACACTGCCACAGGAGGCATTTACTTAGAATATTCATGCATGGGGTAAAACCAAAAAACAGGTGCCCATTTATTGGAAAGTTGGCTTATAACAGTACTGTTGATGGAACCGCAGAGCTAAATAGTGTGTGAATCTCGCTGCTCACTTAAATAAAATAGTTTACCTGTTAAAAACTCTAAGATTGCAACTGTTTAACCAGATAGGTTGCTAAACAGTGGATAACCATGGCAGATTTAACAGAAGCTGATGTTGATCCATGTGATAAAAAGGACTGGCTTGAGACTGCCCTAAAGAGGCTGATCACAGAATCCTTATATCCATATGGTGACCAGGTGGACAGCATGACCTCAACAGAGTTATTGGACGAGCTGAAGGAAGTTGCAGGAAGTGTGACTTACACAGCCATAACGAAGTCAAGCTATGAACAACTAGCTAAAATAGCACTCTTGCTGAAAGCTAAATTTTATAGTGAGGCCAACAAGGCAGAAGCACTTGATAAAAGGTTGATGCACGAGACAGAGGACCACGTGGCAACACGTGTGGAGTACCTAAAACTCGTGGCACAGATTAAATTTTATAAGGAAACCTTATAAAACCTTGTAAAATTGAAACGTGAAAAAGAGCTCTCACAAGCTTAGCTGTTATCAAAAGCAAACTCATATGAGGAAAAGCTACATGAAGGAGGGATTAATTACCAAGCACTGTGTTCAGACAATGATGCTCTGCGCCAACGGTTGCAGCTCACGTCAAAATCTCTGGACGAGTGCAGATTGGAAAAAGCAGCGTTGGTCCAACAAGGCGTGCGTTTACAAAGTGAGTGTCATACATCACGTGAACGCTTAAAAGCCTGTGAGGCAAAACTTGCCGCAGCAGCAAATAAAATTTCTGACGAGGGGCAAGGATGTCTGGAACTCAAAGGCGAACTGGGTCAGAGTCCAGGTCACCCACCACCACCTCAGAAGGATTTTGCTGTACCTCCTACACATAATCCCCTTCTGCCACCTCCACATGAGTCTGGTGAATCACCTCCACGTGATTATTTTGTTCCAACAACACCAATTCCTCAGCCAGAATTGCATAAAATAGCGAAGGATGTCCAACGCTTTGAGCTGGGGCCGTTGGGTTCAACCAACACTAAGGCCTATCTGAACGACCTTGACTTCCAATTAAGAAGCTATCCCAACGCTACAGTTGAGGATAAAAAAGGTTTAATCAGGCTCACTTCAGCCAGGACGGTGTTTTCCTTCATAGAGCGTCAACCTGATGCCACAAGAAAGGATTACCGCCTGTTAAGTGCTGCTCTTATGAAAGAGTATACCCCTTGCACGGGACCTGGCGGATATCCAGCCGACAAGGTCATGCAAGGTAAGAATGAGCACCCAAGGGCATATTATTCCAGAATTTTGCAGGCTTATTTTGGTTACAGGAACGAAACCGGCATGGAGGAGGAGGAAGCGTTTAAGTTCGTTTTCAGCAAAAAATCTCCACCCTGACATAAGAATGTCAGTGCAAATGATGGCTAATTTCAAAGAGAAATCCATCAGTGAGATAAAAAATTGTGTTGTGAATGTCTTTGAAGCTCGTTCACAGGCCAAAACACCCATTGAGGTGTTCCCAGGTGAGAGGATTCCTGCCCAGTCATTAGAATTGGAAGGGATGAGAGCTTTAGCTCCCCCTCCAAAAAAGGAGAGAGGAAACGAGGTTTCCCAGTAGCCAAATCAGAACAGGTGAGTGCCCCTTGGTCCAGACAGGATCCTAAATGGTTTCCTAAGAAACCAGAGGATGAACAAATGTGCCAGAAGGGGGGAGCATGCCCTAAGGGTAAAAAGTATGGCACCAAAGGTGACCCATAAAACCAGGGATCCCACTGGGAACCCCAGAGAAGGGGACCTGCTCCCCCACCACGTCGGCCTGAACAGCCTGAGATGAAAAAGAAACAGCAGCAGGTCCAGAAAGAGAGCCCCAGACCTCTGAGCTCGGACGAGACAGAGAGTGTGCGTCGGTTCTTGGAATTGTTGAAAGGTGTTGCCACGGACAAACAACCTGACGCGTTGTGTGGCAATATCATTGCTGATTAGTCAGAGCACACAGACAACACCGTTACTGCTGTCACGGACAGTCACCATGACGTTGTTGTTGTAAACTCTGACAGGCCTTCACCAGAAAAAGGGGGGGTACAATCACACGTCAACAACGGTGATCCGTCACAAACTGAAACCTCAGAAACAGCAGCAGCAAATGCACCAACGGTTCGGAAAAACCAGGATTACACAGGCAAAGGCAAACGTAAGAAGAAACGTAGGCCAAAACTTACAAGGTTCCTGTGTAACCTGATCAGAAAGGGGGTCGCTAAAAAAGCTTACCTGTCAATCACACTTGAAGGGGTCCTCACCCATGAAGCCCTACTGGACGGTGGAGCCGACATAACTATTATGTCAGCCAAACTGTTCGAGGAGCTCAGGACCGCCGCTAACAGTGTTCACAGAGAAATACCTCTCATAGAATGTGCTATAGAACTGCAGGGCCTCGCAGAGACGAGGACAACCCTAACAGCTATAGCTATGATTCACATGCAGGTTGGCAAGATGACACTATACCACCCGGTACATGTGTCTACGGTTGACTCATTCCCATTTTTGGTTGGCCAGGATTTTATAAATCGCTTTGAGGCGATTATAGATTATGGTGAACAGACAATGTGGGCCAGAGTGAGCAAACCCCTGCCAATACTCATGCCTCCTGAGACAGTCACAGACTGCCCAACAGCAGGCACCGCAGAAGGACCGAGGACCTCTCAGCAGAGAACACAGTCCCGGTAAGTAAGCCTTTAAAAGCATGTGAAACCGAAGAGACCCAACCAGTGGACCCAACTCTGACTGAACAAGAAAGCCTCCTCTGCGAGCTGAGACAGTCAGAGCCCACCGGATACTAATACCATTGATAGTTAAAGGTGTAGAGATCCAAGGATCATACACTGAAGATGCTGTACTGTCGCTGTGGACAGATAAATCAGCTATTAACCAAGCTTTCTACGAAACATTAGTTAAGAAACATTTGGGTCCAGTTCTGATAGGGAAAGCTTTCCGCTTTCCATTTTATCCCAACAGTTCATGAGTGATGACTGTAAAAGGAGTCTTTAACCTGAAACTGAGCTGGAACCAACGGGAACTGGTCCACCCATTCATCGTGGTCCCAGACTTACCACATG